CACACTCACTGACCGACACATACACACTCACTGACCTACACACTCACTGACCTACACACTCACTGACCGACACACACTCACTGACGACACATACACACTCACTGACGACACATACACACTCACTGACTACACATACACACTCACTGACTGACACATACACACTCACTGACTGACACATATACACTCACTGACCAACACACACATTCACTCACAGACACACACACATCCACTTACAGACACACACAATTACACACTTACAGACACACACACACACACACACACATTCACTTCAAAATAAACACTCACAGACACACACACAGACATTTCCACTAACACTCACAAACTAATATTTTTTACATTTATTTTAAATCCACCCAGCCTCCCTGGGAAAGCTGGAGTGGATTTCTTACCAGCAGTCCAGTGTGGCTGCTGGGCAGGCAGGTAGGGGGCGCACAGGCTGAGTAAGCAGCGCTTAGTGATGCCGGGAGCCGGACTGACGTCATATTCTGGCTCCCGGCTTCATTAAGCGGCGCAGAGGAAGCTGAGCAGAAGAGCTCAGGTGAGTATGCTCCTTCGCTGCCCGCTGCCAGCCTTGGGGGGGCTCAAAAGTGGCCAGCCGGTCAGCTCTTGAGCCCCCCAGGATGCGAGGCAAGCAAGGGATCTGCCTGGGGGTTTGGAGGGATGCTTTTTTTTGCCGCCCCCTGCAAAGTGGCGCTCAAGGCAGATGCCTTGTTTGCCTCGTGATACACACGTCCCCGGTGCCTGTGTGTGTTACTGTATTCAGGCAACTTGGTGGGAGGTGGGGGGGGCGCCGTGAAGACTTTTTGCACAGGGCGCCTAATTGCCTAAGGCCGGCCCTGGTTATGATCTTCAAAACTGGAAGACTCAGTTACACAACATATTGTCATTCATATAGCTGGAAAGAGGCATTAGACAATTTGTGTTTATGACAGGACAGTTTCATTGCTGTTCAGGCTTACTATTTAACTGCATATGCATAGTTGTATCTTTATCTTACATAGTTACATAGTTGAAAAGAGATTTGCGTGCATCAAGTTCAGCCTTCCTCACATATGTTTTTGCTGTTGATCCAAAGAAAGGCAAAAAAACAATTTTGCAACAAACTAGGAAAAAATTCCTTCTTGACCCCAAAATGGCAGTCAGATGTCTCCTTGGATCAAGCAGCTATTACCCCACTATTTACCCCACTATGTCCCAAAGTGTCTTCACATCTCCATGCCAGAATAGTAGAATAACTGGCAATTAGCAGATATATTTTCCACTATATAAATCCTCCCAGCAGAGAGAGTTCTGGCTGATTACTTTACAGCTTTTAAAGGGACATTCTATGCACCACAATAAATGTAGTTTAATAAAGAAGTTTTGGTGTGTAGATCATGCATGCACTGCCAAATGTATCCCATTTTGGGGTTAAATCTGTTTTGTTTCTGTTTATTAAGCTCTAGCCACACCTCTCCTAGCTGTGACTCACACAGTCTACATAAAAAATGGTTTCATTTTCAATCAGATGTGAAAGCACAGTGTGTTTACTTTAGAAGTTGTTCTCTTCTGCTCTGTTAATTGAACTTTTTCATCACACACGGGAGGCTCCTGCAGGCTCTGGCACTGTCTGTATTGGCATCATTTACTGATGATTAAATTGGTATGATTCAATTACCACTCTCCATTTAGAGAAAAATACCGGTCTCTACATTGCAGGTATTTCTGCAATACCAGCACAAGTCAGCCTATGCAAATATAGGCAAACCCTAGCACCGTGATCCTCTTAGTGACTATGGTTTTCCTGGGATTTTGTACATTCGTGACTGAGGCTGTTTTTGGCAATCTTGCTATGTGTTGCATTGTATTTTCCTTTTTTTACATTAGGTTCTGCAATAAAAATGATATATTGTACTTTTAAAGCTTCACAACAAATTTAGCTTAATGAAGCAAATATGTTTTTTTTTTATTAACATATATAACACAATATTAAGTGTGAATAAAATATTTAATAAAATCGGAAAAAATAAAGAAATTATTTTTCAATGCTTTGCTTATAATCATTTCTCTACACAAATAGTGTAACTAAAGTCAAAATTTCTCAAAATTGATTAATTTATTATAACTGATTGTGGAAATGCCTCAAATGTCTAGAGTTTCAATCAATGTTTTAGAAGTTTTAGGGCAAACGACTTCCAAAACATTGGGATACCTGCATTGCCCCCATCAGTCTTTTTCTTTACTGAAGCTATTCCCACAGCTCACACCTTTGCCAATCACTACATTGGCTTCCTCTACCCTTCAGGATCCAATTCAAACTAACACTAACCTACAAAGCCCTGGATAGTTCCACTCTTCACTACATTTCCTCTTTACTCGAAAAATACACTCCCTTCGCTCTACAAGCGACCTTCTCATGATGTTTGCTTGGTCCCTTACTGCCAACTCTCATCTGCAGGATTTTTTTTTCAAGGGCTGCCTCTTTCCTATGGCATTCCATAGCCTGTGCCTTCACACCCTCACCTACCCCAAGTTCTTTAAGAAGTCACTGAAAATATACAATTTTCCCACCATTTTCCTGGGTGACGTTCCTCTCATTACAATTGTCCTCTTCAGTTCCCTCGCATTCATAGCCCAGTTTACGTTCTCTTCTTCCACTGCTCAGTTCGGTTCCACACACCACTTTTACTAGCTTAGAGACACAGGAATTTTATTCTCAATCCCTCCTCCCCTCTGGCATGCTTTTATTCCTCTTTCATTTGAGCAGGACCTTCTTTTCCTCTTGTCTCTAATCTGTTAATATTGTGTATGCCAATTACTTGTTAATTATCCTGATTCTATCATTATAAAGCACTGCAGAATATGTTACACTCTATAAATGATAGTAATAATCAACAATCTATAAGAAAATTTGGTTATATTATTTTTTTCTCACACTTTTTTTATGGAAAATATCACAGAGCTCGTTTATCTAACTACTATTAGAATACCACATTTGTTAATGCCCCCGTGCAAAGCAATAAACCCACTAAGGAGGCGTCTTCAAATTGCAATTGTAACACAAATGGCGAGATATACAGCATGTGGTGGCTTTCACAAATGGCTTAACTGTAGTGGAGCAGATAAGGAAACAAAAAAAAGTAATTAACAATGCCCATTTCAGTGTGTCTTATTGCCATCCTGTGTAACTTGAGCAATGACATTCTTATAGAATAACCTTACTTGCACTATTAGACTTTCTACTTGTCTCTAATCCTTTAGGAAGTCCATTAAGCTCATGACAAGGTTATCATTTCCCTGGTAACTCCTTGAACCAATTTACCCTGTCTCACCATTAAACTGTCCAATTTTGTTCCAGTTGATCATTTGTTAGTTCAACTTGTTAAAAGCATGGTGATATCCCATTTTGTTGAATCATTCTTCCACTTGTGTTTCTAACCTTCTCTAGATTGTAAATTTGCATAGGCCCTGTTAACATTGCTTTCTATTCTTGTCCTCATTGAAGGCTCTTTTCCAAAGTGTTCAAGGATCAGCTGTAAGCTGTTATTATGGCATATAGCATAAACATTTACTATAGTATATACAATGACTAGGCAACCTTTTAGCAGCACTGTTCCAAAATAAAACATTGAAATCCCTTAGTGTGCCGGTCCTACTTTGTATTTTAAAATTTACATGTGTGTATATTTCCATATTCTGATTGTGTAATGTGTGGGTGCTACAGCTGCTCTGTAGGGGTGTATTCGTGGGCTGTGTTATATTGTGTATGTTTGTGAGCAGTTTGTTGCATCATGTTATGAGTGTTAATGTGGGCTGTGTATCTTTTTTGCATGTCATGGACCCTTAATTGTAAAACAGGTAAATAGATGTCCATAATATTAATGTCTTTCCCCCAGTATATACACCTTCATGTGCACTAAACATCCACCTGCACTTTTAAATTCCCTAATTTAATTTATTATACACTGATCAACCACAACATTAAGACCACTGACTGGTAAAGTGAATAACATAGATTATATTGTTACAATGGCACATGTCAAGGGGTGGGATATATTAGGCAGCAAGTGAACAGTCAGTTCTTAAATTTCAAGTGTTAGAAGCAGTAAAAATAGGCAACTGAAAATATCTGAATGACTGTGACAAATAGTGATGGCTAGAAGACTGGGTCAGAGAATCTCAAAAATGGCATGTGGGGGTTTCCTGGTATGCAGTATTTAGTACCTAGCAAAAGTCTTCTTGATGCACATAGGGAGTGAAGGCTAGTCCGATCACACAGAAGAGCTACTGTAGTTCAAATTACTTAATGCTGGCCATGATAGAAAGGAGTCATAACATGCAGTGCATCACAGTTTTCTATGTATGGGGCTGTATAGTCGCAAAAAGGTCAGATTGCCCATGAAGGCTTCTGACCACTGCCAAAGGCGCCGTCAGTATGGATGTGAGGGTCAGAACTGGACCATGGAGAAATGGAAGAAGGTTGCCTGTCTGATGAATCATGTTTTCTTTTAGATCAGGTGGATGGCTGGATGTGGCGGCACCGTTTACCTGGTAAAGAGATGGCAGCAGGATGCACTATGGGAAGAAGGCAGGACAGTGGAGGGAGTATTACGCTCTGGACAATGTTCAGCTGGGAAATCTTGGGTCCTGGCATTCATGTGGATGTTATATTGTACCACCAACCACCAACCTAGAGATTGTTGCAGACCACGTGCACCCCTTCAAGACAAGGTGTTTCCTGATGGCAGTGGCCTATTTTAGCAGGATAATGCACCCTACAACACTGCAAAAATTGGTCATAAATGGTCTAAAGAACATGTCAAAGAGTTCAAAGTATTACCATAGCCTCCTGAACATCTTTGGGATGTGTTGGAAGAACAAACACAACTTGCAGGACTTAAAGGCTCTCCTACTAATGTCTTGGTTCTAGATACCACAGGCCAAGTTCAGAGGCCTTGTGGAATCCATGCCTCGATCCATCAAACCTATTCCATAGACAAGTTCAATAGTGCATGGAATCCCACTAATCTATGTTTGAGGAAACTTTCCTAACCATAGATCAGCTTACTCGCGAATGGAAACCCGTGAATCTATATTCGAGGAAACTTCCCCGAACGTAGATTAGCTTACTCGCGAATGGAATCCCACAAATTTATGTTCGGGGAAAATTCCCCTAATATAGGTTAGCGAACTAGTTACTAGTGATTAGGGTTTTTTTCGGGGTAGGGCTTATATTACGAGCGATCGCTGAAAATAATCTAGGAGAAACACGGCATATATATATATATACATATATATATATATTTGTGTTAAGGGCTCATGATAGTACAGAAGATACAAACACTGATAAGTGTGGGATGGTATTAAAAGAGCAAGTCGGTTGTGGTGTGCCGGAACCGACGATGAGGTAGGCCTGTAAATAAAGAGGGCCCACCAAGAAGAAATGCAAGAGAAAAGGAGTTAATAATGAGGAGTGGGTGGGAGGGAGGGTGATGCAGCGCTGACCTCGAACGGTATGGAGCCAGGTAAGGGGTGTCCCTTGAGTCCTACGCCCCTCCCACAATTACAGGCCAAAAGGCCTTAATACATATATAAATATATATATATTTATATATATATTGTGTATTATATATATGCAAGAGAGAAAGAGAGAGAGAGAGAATTGTGATGTGACAAGACCAATCTCGCCACTGTGCATTGGAGGAGCCTGCTTGTCTGCCTGCTGCCTTTTGACTATGGACCTGCATTTAAATACTTTATTTTCCGATGCAGAAAGGTCTATTCCTGTATTTCTGCCCTGGTGTTCGATAGATTCTTGGATTTACTGAATGAACTCATTTAACCCAGATAGCTATGCCATGGAGCCTATTCGTGTAATAAAAGACTCCATGGCAATTGAACTGTATGTGTGTGGTCTGAGCGCCATTTAGTAAAAATGTGCGCTCAGACCTAAGCTATCTGGGGATATGTTGCATGTCTGTATTTTATGTAATAAATATAACCTTGTGTATTTTATTGTATTTTTACTTATTTTTTAAAGTCTTTTATTACACGAATAGGCTCCATGGCATAGCTATCTGGGTTAAATGAGTTCATTCAGTAAATCCAAGAATCTACCGAACGCCAGGGCAGAAATACAGGAATCGACCTTTCTGCATCGGAAAATAAAGTATTTAAATGCCGGTCCATAGTCAAAAGGCAGCAGGCAGGCAACCAGGCTCCTCCAATGCACAGTGGCGAGATTGGTCTCGTCACATGTGTCTCTTTTATTTTATCTGTGAATATGTATATCAGGCAGTTCTGTCTCACATGGAGATATTATTACATTTGGATTTTAAGTTATTACCAGAGTCTGCCAATTGTATAAATATGAGGATGGAATGGCCAATTTAATATAAGAAAGATCCAAGAGGTGGGGTTACACGCATAATGCTACATATCAGTGAAGAGTAAGAAGGAAGCAGAGATATCATAAATATCGAGAGAATGCAGAAGACACGTGGAAGAGTATTACTGAGGCTGTTAGTGGCAGACATACATTAAGAGACTTGTGTTGTGGTCCACATATGGCTATTCTACTTGTGGTTCCTGCTTTCTGTGATGTTTTCAAACCGTAATTTACAAAGTGTATACATTGTTGTCCAATTGAACTTTCCTGGTGGAAAAAATGTGACCCACCACTCACAAAGACTTGATTGGTATCCACCTCTCACAAGGACTTGAGTAGTATCCACATCTAACAATAACTTGAGCTCCTGGAGTGTGGAGGTAATAGTTGCATCTACATGGGTTCTCAGTGGTGTTATGTTTGTGGGAGCTGTGCATGAAGCTGTGTCTGTTTGCATGTGAAGGAGGTTTCTTCTGCAATTGTGTTGCTGTGTGGGGACCGGGCTGGCCAAGCACAGGTCAAGAATAGGGGCACATACAGGGTGCTCTCATATATTACAAATTCCCCTTCACAATCACTGGAAGGAAGTGATTTGAGATCCTCAGATCCAGGGCCGGATTAAGAGCACAGTGGGTCTGGTGCTGACAATTATGATGGGCCTAATTACGGAATCTTATCGACCAAAAACACTAAAACAATCATACCTCCCAAGCGTCATGTATCTAATGGAGATGGTGCTGGAGGGAAACTCATAGGATGCAGCTATAAGAAAACACATACTCTATGCTAATCCCTCTCTAATTTATGCTTTCATCTTTCAAGTAAATCCATAACCCCTAACAGCAGTGTCCAGTGAAGCAGGAAGTCAATGGGCGGGGTAAAAGAGTGTGCCACTGGCGCGAATCACGTGACAAGACCTGCCAAAAGGGGCATGTTTGTTTAAAGAATTGGAAGGTCAGCCTGGCATGAATGCATGTCAGGCTGCCTGCCAATCCTGCAGGCTGTCCAACTAAGGGCATACTATGCAGGCAGCACCTTGAGCTTGACATAAATGCGTCTAATGATGCGCTCACTCCATTCTAAGGACTGTCCCCTAGCACTCGCTGGTCCACTTGTCTCCTTACCTTCTTACTAGCAGGCAGAAGTTCTTGGTATATAGTCTGAGACAGAGAAAAGATGTCTGTAGTGAGTGTAGAAGAAAGGGGACATGCCACAGTGTTAGAGAGACCAACGTCTGCATTACCTAAACTAACTTTAATTTCAGCAAGTGCACACAAGTTTTGTTCCCATACATCCCTCTTAATCTTCCAAACTTAAAGGGACACTATAGTCACCAGAACAACTACAGCTTATTGTATTTGTTCTGGTAAGTAGAATCATTCCATTCAGGCTTTTTGCAGTAAACACTGTCTTTTCAGAGAAAATAACTCCACTGGCTGCTCCTTAGATGGCTGCTAGAGGTGCTTCCTGGGGCAGTACTGCCTAGTGTGCAGCACTGCCATTCAGTGTCTCCACCCTCTGCATGCAGACACTGAACTTTCCACATAGAGATGCATTGATTCAATTTATCTTTATGAGGAGATGCTGATTGGCCAGGGCTAGGTTGGACTTGTGCTGGCTCTGCCCCTGATCTGCCTAGTTGACAGTCTCAGTCAATCCTATGGGGAAGTATTGTAATTTGCTCTGACCACCACTTCTGAGCCAGCAGCTGCAGAATTGAATACAAGTAATATTTTACTATAGTTAGGGAGGCAAGAAGGGGCCAGGGTGGTGGTTTTAACATAATAGGGTCAGAAATACATGATTGTGTTCCTGGCCCTATAGTGCTCCTTTAAGCAAGAGTATGTGAAGAGTAGTTAAGGTTGCCACCTTTCTTGGAAAAAAATACCAGCCTTAATAATTTGTATAATTAATTAGTTATGCGTGACATCACATGATGTAAATCACAAGGAGTGACATCAGAGAAAATTCTGTAAAATCACCAACAAACTACTCAGTTTGATTCTGCTGTATAGATGGATTGCTCCCAGTGTCTCCCTGTCTCCCAGTGTCTCAGTCTCGCAAGTCACCCAGTGTCTCAGTGTCCCTATGTATCACAGTGTCAGTGTCCCCATGTCGCCCAGCCCCCTAGTCTCCCAGTGTCTGTGTCCCCATTTCTCCCAGTGTCCCAATTCTCAGTGTGTCCCCATGTCACTAGGATACTGGGGACACTGAGAGACACAGGGACACTGAGACCCGGGGACACTGAGGCATTTAGGGAAACTGGGAGAAATGGGGACACTGAGACACTAGGGACACAGACACTGGGAGACATGGGGACACTGAAACATTTGGGAAAACTAAGACACTAGGGACACAGACATGGGAACATAAACACTGGGAGACTAGGGGAAACTGGGAGACTAGGGGACACTGGCTGGAAGACAGACACTTGGGGACACTGAGACACTAGGGACACTGGCTGGGGGACATAGTGTCTCCGTCTCCCAATGTCCCTATGTCTCACAGCGTCCCCATGTGTTTCAGCATCCCCATGTGTCTCAGCATCCCCATGTGTCTCAGTGTCCCCTAGTGTCTCAGTGTCCCCAGGTCTCCCAGTGTCTGTGTCCCCATGTGTCCTAGTGTCTCAGTGTCCCCTAGTGACAGTGTCCCCATGTGTCCCCTAGTGTCTGTGTCCCCATGTGTCTGTGTTCCCATATGTCCCCAAGTGTCTCAGTGTCCACATGTTTTTCAGTGTCCCCAAGTGTCTCAGTGTTCCCAGGTCTCCCAGTGTCTGTGTCCTAGTGTCTCAGTGTCCCCTAGTGTATGTGTCATCATGTGTCCCCTAGTGTATGTGTCCCCTAGTGTCTCAGTGTCCCCATGTGCCCCCTAGTGTCTGTGTCCCCATGTGTCCCTTAGTGTCTCAGTGTCCCCTAGTGTCTCAGTGTCCCCAATGTGTCCCCTAGTGTCTCAGTGTCCCCATGTGTCCCCTAGTGTCTCACTGAGACACTAGGGGACACATACACTAGGGGACACATGATGACACATACACTAGGGGACACTGAGACACTAGGACACAGACACTGGGAGACCTGGGAACACTGAGACACTTGGGGACACTGGAAAACATGGGGACACTGAGACACTTGGGGACATATGGGGACACTGTCACTAGGGGACCCTGTGACACTAGGACACATGGGGACACATACACTGGGAGACGTGGGGACACTGAGACACTAGGGACACTGGCTGGGGGACATAGTGTCTCCGTCTCCCAATGTCCCTATGTCTCACAGCGTCCCCATGTGTTTCAGCATCCCCATGTGTCTCAGCATCCCCATGTGTCTCAGTGTCCCCTAGTGTCTCAGTGTCCCCAGGTCTCCCAGTGTATGTGTCCCCATGTGTCCTAGTGTCTCAGTGTCCCCTAGTGACAGTGTCCCCATGTGTCCCCAAGTTTCTCAGTGTCCCCATGTTTTCCAGTGTCCCCAAGTGTCTCAGTGTTCCCAGGTCTCCCAGTGTCTGTGCCCTAGTGTCTCAGTGTCCCCTAGTGTATGTGTCATCATGTGTCCCCTAGTGTATGTGTCCCCTAGTGTCTCAGTGTCCCCTAGTGTCTCAGTGTCCCCAATGTGTCCCTGCTGCCTTTCCCCCGATCCCTCACTTACCTGAGCTCTAGAGCTGCTGTCTGGACTCTCTGTGCTGTGTAGCTGCTCCCCCACGGATCAGTGAGTAGTAGAGAGAGGCAGGGATATTCTGTAACTTCCTATCCCTGCCTCTCTTCACACACAGCCCTACTGGCCGGTGCTGGTATTGCAGAGTAATTTCCATTTATTCTGAGAAAATTACCTGCATTTGTATTGCTGATATTACTGCAATACCGGCAGGGCCAGGCAGCCTCAAATACAGTCTGTGCCATTAAAATACCAGTCAGGTGGCAAACCTAAGAGTAGTGTGTAAAAAAAAAAATTTTTTTTAAATGGGCCTATTCCATGGGCCTGGGCCTGGGCCTGGAGCTACAGCTCCATCAGCCCCTATGTTAAGCCGGCCCTGCTCAGATCTCGACAACCTGTTTGGTTTTGGCAGCCTTGCATGCAGTACAAAGGCAGTTCTTGTGTCATGCACAGAACAGAGCTTTTGACTCCCAGTATATTTTATAAACATTCTCCCACTTGCGTTCATTACTTCCCCCTAGAATCCAAGCTTGTATTGGCCCTGTTAATCCTACTTTCTGATCCTGGTAACACTAAGTGCTCTGGTTGTTAAAAACCAGTTGTAAGACATTATTAAGCAACAGCTAAATAGTTTCCAAGCTCCAAGCCCATGCTTTTTGACGCATCAATGCTATTGTCCATCCCTATAGATACTGTCTGCATCATTGCATTCCTCCCCAGTTTTTTACAATCGCATAAATCTGTTTTTTGTTAATAAGTATTCCCCCTCTCCCTCTTCCCATTTTTTTTTGTGTTCTACTCTATAATATTTTTTGGAAACGTTAGAATTACATTGTGCTTGTGCACAGGTCTATCGAATGATAGACAAGATTAATGTAATTATATGATATTATACATTTCCAACTTGTCTCCACCCAGGCTTCCTTCCTTCTCTCCTGATTTCTATCAGAATTATTTTTTTAGCATTATTATTATTATTATTATTAAAATTTACTGTTTTCTGTTTCAAATAAGAAATTACAAAAACCATAAATGATTCTAACTTTAGAGAAATGCGAGAGTGTGACTGTTTTCTTTAAAAAAACAACAACAAAAAACCCAACCAATAATAATAAAAAATAAAATAAGCCTAGTATCTCATTAATGTTTAAAAAAACAGCATCAAAACATTAAACATTAAAACATTAAACATGAACATGGTATTTCCCTTTTTCAAAGTCTAATTGTCTATTGTTGGTACAGATATTTCAGTATAGTATTTTTTTTTATTATTATTTTATGGAAAAGGGAAAATATATAAGGCACATTTGCAATTATTTACACATTTTTGTTTGAAAAATAAACTTTAACAATTCAGCTGAAGTTCAAATTAAGATAAGTCCATTGCCCATTCACTATTTCATAGTCACGAATAAGTGAGACATTCTGTGGTCTTTTGGTATTGGGGTTGTCATTGTGAAATATGTGACAAGAGTAATTCTATAAAGAATTATTTGCCATCTTTCTCCAAAATGTCTACATCATACATAAAAAAAAAAAACTTTTACAAAAAAATTTACATTGCACAGTCAAAATGCTGCTCCCATTGTAAAGAACACATTTTACCCCAATCACATTTAACCCCAGTCAATAGAATTAAATAGTTAGTGTACATTTTTTCACATTCAAACACAAAGGTGAGTATTGAGTCAGATTTAAATCCCACAATTTCCCAAGTATAGAGTTGCCTAAGAAAATGTTGAAGACGTTGTTGTATGAAGTCCATTATGGGAGTGTGTCAAGCATTGAATTAGCCATAACTGCTTTCTCCTTAGGCCACTACTAAAAAAGAAAACAATGGTAACTAATTAAATTACCATAAAAGCTCTACCTAGACATGGCTTGCTTCCAATAAGGCACACTAGGCACTAAAATAAATTGGAACAATAAACGTAGGACAGCTCTTAGACATATTGTTTTTCAAAAAATTAACTGGTTCTGATTCAAAGTTGAAAGGGCATCCTTCAGGCTCAGAGTCAAGTGTCTCCAATTGTAGCAGAAAATATCCTAGTTGATAGTCAACTTCCATAAATCTTAAATCTTGGTAGTTTTTTCACATTTCAAAGAAGGTATATTTCACGTTGAAAGAATTTCTCACATTTCTAAGTCTTCGAGTACTGTGTAGTTAATATTTATAGAAAAGATGAAGTGATGGTGGTACATCTTAGGGGCTCAAAAATGTGAAACGTTTGTCCTAACTCCTTTGGTAGAGTTTCATTATTCCCTTCTCATGAAGTTTACCCCACAGCTTCATTTCCATGAGCATGTCGTGATTGGCATAAAATTCGAGTTTCTTCTTTTCTCTCTCATAATAATGATCTGAGAAAAGGTGGTAATTGGGAGTGATAAAACCATAAGCACTGACCTGGAATGAGAATAACATTTGTCAAGGATCAGTGGAGTAATGTATATTAGGAATGTTAACAAGATTATCATTATAATTTTATTATGATGTGAGAACATATTTAATGTAAAAAAATATATATAAAACAAGTCCTTTTTTTAAGGTTGTTTACAGTCTTGTCCTGGATTGCTACAATGTGCAATGTGTCTAGAATGGAAGAAAAATATGTAAATATATGATACAATATGTATAACGCCTTACCTAAGTAAAAACAGAATTGGAGCAGATGAAGGTCAAGTTTTGCAAGGGGAGATGTGGCAGATTGCTGTAGAGATTAGACATGATATACAATGCGGGCCATTTAGACTATTTGGCAGGTCTCCATGAGCATGGTGTACCAACAAGTTTCATTCACCCAAAACATGAGCAAGATAACATTTCACAAGCTAAACAACACAAGACTAAAATGCAGTAGTTGTCAACTACAAAAAGTAACATCACACAATTATTTGACTAAAATAAATTTTATATATATAAAGAGTCCCATCTCAGCCCCATCTCCATGAATAAAAAAAGAAAAGAAAATAATAATAACAAAAAAAGAAAAACATTTGGCAAAAAGAAGGATTCTTAAGCATTGATCAATGTATTTTAGGGTTCAACTAGGGAAGAGGTGGAGGAATCGATGATGAAATCCACACCACAATTGGATGAGAGTTAATATGAAAGGCATTCTGTTGGACTCCTAAGTGTACATTTGCATTAGATTTGCATCGCATTTTCGTACAGCTCCACTATTATGAGTTAAAAGGTTTAGAGGGCTCCATTTACATACTCCCCTGCATGTCTACCTAAATAGAGACCTTGCATTGAGTTAATCAGTACTTCAAAAGCTAACAAGGATATGTTTTTACATACTTAAAGTAACACTATAGTGTTAGGAAAACAAAGCTATATTTCCAACACTATAATGTCCCTCTGCCCCCCTCTCCCTCCTTCCCTCCCACACTCTCTCCGGTGGCAGATAAAGGGTTAGAAAAAGCCTATTGTATTAGGGTGTGCACCCTAAAGCACAAACACACACCGCGTGTATATGTATGTGTATGTATATATATATATATATATATACATATACCGTATATATATATATATATATATATATATATATATATATATATACATACACACATACATACACTGCTGTGTGTGTGTATGTGCTGCTAGTGTGCTGTGTGAGGGTGCTATTTATGTGCTGTGTGTGAGGGTGCTGGTAGTGTGCTGTGTGTGTGAGGGTGCTGGTAGTGTGCTGTGTGTGTGAGGATGGTGTGTGTGTGTTTGTGAGGGTGCTGTTAGTGTGCTGTAGCTGAGGGTGTTGTGTTTGTAAGGGTGCTGTGTGTGTGTGTTTGTGAGGGTTCTGTATGTGTGCTTTGTGTATGAGGGTGCTGTATGTGTGTGGGTGCTGTTTGTGTGTGGGTGCTGATTGTGTGCTGTGTGTGTGAGGGTGCTGTGTGTGTGAGGGGTGAGGGTGCTGTTTGTGTGCTGTATGTGTGAGGGTGCTGTATGTGTGAGGGTGCTGTCTGTGTGCTGTGTGAGGGTGCTGTGTGTGTAAGGGATCTGTGTGTGAGAGTGCTGGTAGTGTGCTATGTGGGTGAGGGTGTGTGTGTCTTTGTGAGGGTGCTGTTAGTGTGCTGTTTGTGAGGGTGTTGTTTGTGTGCTGTGTGTGAGGGTGCTGGTAGTGTGCTGTGTGTGTGTGTTTGTGAGGGTGCTGTTAGTGTGCTGTGTGTGAGGGTGCTGTGTGTTTGTAAGGGTGCTGTGTGTTTGTGTGTGTGTTTGTGAGGGTGCTGTTAGTGTACTGTGTGTGTGAGGGTGCTGTGTGTGACGGTGCTGTATGTGTGCTTTGTGTATGAGGGTGCTGTATGTGTGTGGGTGCTGTTTGTGTGTGGGTGCTGTTTGTGTGCTGTGTGTGTGAGGCTGCTGTATGTGTGAGCGTGCGGTGTGTGTGAGTGTGCTGTTAGTGTGTGAGTGTGTGTGTGTGTTTGTGAGGGTGCTGTTAGTGTGCTGTGTGTGAGGGTGCTGTGTGTTTGTAAAGGTGCTGTGTGTGTGTGTGTTTGTGAGGGTGCTGTTAGTGTACTGTGTGTGTAAGAAACATAGAAACATAGAATGTGACGACAGATAAGAACCATTCGGCCCATCTAGTCTGCCCAATTTTCTAAATACTTTCATTAGTCCCTAGCCTCATCTTATAGTTAGGATAGCCTTATGCCTATCCCACGCATGCTTAAACTCCTTTACTGTGTTAACCTCTACCACTTCAGCTGGAAGGCTATTCCATGTATCCACTACCCTCTCAGTAAAGTAATACTTCCTGATATTATTTTTAAACCTTTGTCCCTCTAATTTAAGACTATGTCCTCTTGTTGTGGTAGTTTTTCTTCTTTTAAATATAGTCTCCTCCTTTACTGTGTTGATTCCCTTTATATATTTAAATCTTTCTATCATATCCCCCCTGTCTCGTCTTTCCTCCAAGCTATACATGTTAAGATCCTTTAACCTTTCCTGGTAAGTTTTATCCCGCAATCCATGAACCAGTTTAGTAGCCCTTCTCTGAACCCTCTCTAAGGTATCAATATCCTTCTGAAGATACGGTCTCCAGTACTGTGTACAATACTCCAAGTGAGGTCTCACCAGTGTTCTGTACAATGGCATGAGCACTTCCCTCTTTCTACTGCTAATACCTCTCCCTATACAACCAAGCATTCTGCTAGCATTTCCTGCTGCTCTATTACATTGTCTGCCTACCTTTAAGTCATCAGAAATAATCACCCCTAAATCCCTTTCCTCATATGTT